AAAGATAATACTATGAAACTTAAAGTTTATCGATGAACATAAGTCTAGTTGAGAATAGTACAAAAAATATTTTATCAACTTGTTGCTTTCACATTTAGGGCAGGGGGGGCGAAAATTTTGGGGCTTATTTGTTCTTAGCCTCCAATCATCGCATTTTTTTGCAAAGCATCCTTATTTGACATAAGTATAAACATATAAATGTTTGGAGTTTGCTCCATGTCTGGAAGTTAGCTATCTCAAAGACCAAAAAATGCTGGATCCGCCCCTGCGTGGAGCAAACTCCAAACATTTGTATATTTATACTTATGTTAAATATGGATGCTTCGCAAAAATTTGCGATGATTGGAGGCTGAGAACAAATAAGCCCAAATTTTTGTCACCCCTTCCCTTGTAAATGTTCAATTGAAACTTATCAGCTTCATCATTTTAAAATTTATTTCCTTTAAAAATTTTTATGAAGTGTTATACATTTTTGAAAGCATCTTGTTATGGAGATTTTAGAACAAATTCACATTTTTAATTATATGGTTTTGTTTACTAATAATTAATTAAACTATAAAATGAGCTAGAAAATAAAAAAATCTTAAAGTTCACATATAATTTAGGCAGTCACCCACGCTTCCCCGCGCTTCATTTTTATATTTGCTTTTATAGCTTCCCTACGGGCATTTTTTTTCAAAGTTACGTTCTAAATGTCTTTTAAACGATTTTCAAACGTCTTTTAACCGTTTTTAAGGAAGAATGTTTAGAAAACGTTTAAAATCCATTTAAAATACATTTAGAACGTAACTTATAAAACAAATGCCCGCTGGATTAGCTGTCTATAAAAATAATTGATTAAAAATCAAGTGCGGATACGTGCGGTTTCCAATAAATATAAATAAAAAAAGTGATAAAAGTCAGAAAACAGAAAACAATAGGGGAAGGTAGCGTATGTTGAGCATGTTAATAGCGTATTATTTTTTTACAGCTGAAATATTGTAATATTTATATTTATATTTGCTGATTATCATAATTCAATCTTTCCTCTTAAAGAATATAAATGAATAGTTCATTGAAAAAATCTTTACACCAAAAATTTTTTTATTTTCAACACACCTAATCATCTCATCTTAGTAAACCAGTTTCCTAAGATGAGCTTTTTTTAATGGAACTCAAAAAAACTCAAAATAACAAAAACATAATCACAAAAAATTTCGTTCTGACGTAATTACAAAATATTGAAAGATAAAAAATTATAACAAGGATGGTAAATTTTTTTTAATAGTAAAACAATCAAAGAATATAAACTATACAACCAAGAAATTAAAATAAATAACACCGTCAAAGCTTGTATGAATATTCTAACCCAAAAAAGTTCGCGAAAAAATCATTAGTCTACCCGTAAAAAGAGGTTATACCATCTTAGAAACCTGCTCATCTTACGCAACTTTCCCTTACACTCTTACATGTTCAACATACGCAACCTTCCTCTATATAAATTTGATATGAATTTTTATTTAATTTTTCAATTAAATAACCATTTTATATATTTTTGCTGTTTCGAATACTTTCAAAGTTTGAATGATTATTTAATTTTTCAATTAAATAACCATTTTATATATTTTTGCGGTTTCGAATACTTTCAAAGTTTTTTTATATAATTAAAAAGAACATGTTTAATTTAAAATAAAATAAAAAATGACAATTTTGAAGTTTTTGATTTTTATTTACACGTTTTGTATTTATGAAATAATTTTTATATAAAAAATATTTCCTTAGAAACGTCATATACTACTTTACGTTTGTGCAAAGTTTCAACATCTTTAGTAACAAAAAAGTTATTGATTTTTGATCCACAACAGACCTTTATTTTCCATAGTGCGTAGCCCAGATATTTATTCTCCATAGTGCGTAGCCCAGATATTTATTTTCCATAGTGCGTAGCCCAGATATTTATTTTCCATAGTGCGTAGCCCAGATATTTATTTTCCATAATGCGTAGCCCAGATATTAAACCCCAGAAATTCTTTTCATGACTATAACACTTTATAAGTGTTTTTATGTGACTTTTATTATACATATTATATACATATAAGACACCAAATAACCTAATTTTTTTTTAGTGTCTTTTGTTTATTTTAGTTAACAATTATCTTTTATTTTTTAGTTCGGTTATTTAAAAATGCATTTAACTAGACATATTGCAAAAGTTAGCATTTAGAAAAAAATTCAAGTTTCTTATGGCATGATGTAAGGTTAACTAAATTTAAAGAAAGACGAGTTTTCTTTAAATTCAGTTTCTACATCTAGTTCGGCACATTTTTCACTTATAAATGATTCGACTGCTAAATACAGAACTTCAAAAGCTTCATCGTTTCCCATATCTACAAACTTATTTTTTATAACATCAATCAACTGTTTTGCAAATAAAACATCTATATCTTCTCGTTACAAACAGTTAGATAACACAAAAAGATTAATTAACTACTTTGCTAAAAATAGCATTAGAAAAACAAATGAACATTTTTTTTTTTATTAAAACTGATAATCCAACAGCTTCTGCTCTAACATTATCTGTATGTTCTTTAGATTCTCCTAGATTTATATCTTCAAGAGTGGCAAGATTAGCAGAAAAAGATTCAACATTAGCATCAACTGCATGCTTCCTACTTGTTCATCTTGTATCAGAAAGTTGTTTCAGAGTGTCTACTGTTGATTCATATTGACGTCTCTGGTGCTCTTGGAGAATATGAAGTTGTGGTAAACTAGACGTATACAAATTTTCAGCTGTGCCAAAAAAAATCTGGACATCGCTGTTTACAGACATTACTTCGATGATCACCAAATTTAAAACATGAGCACAACAATGAACATAGATGACATTTGGTGAAAGCGCTTTTATTCGAGTTTGAAGACCACTTTTAATTCCAAACATTACATAAAAACCATCATATGCTTGTCCTCTGCAGAGTTTAATATCAATGTTTCTCTTTTCAGAGTTTAATATCAATGTTTCGAAAGGAAATATTTTAAAACCTCTGTTTTAAATAAATTCTTCTCTCTCTCTTTCCATTTGTACTTATTTTTATTCTTATTATTTTGTTTTTCATTGGTAATTTTAATTTATAATTTTTTTTGTGAACGTTTTAGGGGGCACCGTTTGATTGTTCTTGGGGCGTGGGGGGCAGCTCGTTTCCCCACGCCCTATACTAAACCCGCTACTGCCACTGATACTACACGCAGATAAAATATATTTACATAAATAGTTCTAAATTTTTTATGTCCATATAAAATACCGTAGTTCTTAAAACTAGTGCCGGATTAAAACTTGCAGGGTCTAGGGATATTTTTGAGCAGGTTTTTTTATTTAAGTGGTGAAAAAACCAAACAAAAATAAAGCATCCTCTTAAAAATTTCGGGGTTCCTAAATCTGCGGGACATAGGGCTGCAGCCCCCATAATACGGGACTAATTTAAACTTTTCCTCTATATTTTTTAAATAGTTAAAACTTTTTTGCAAGAAACTAGTAAAAAGAACTAACAATTATGCCATTCAAATAGTCTACCTTTACCGAGTCTCTCTGGGCATATGGGCCTTCTGCTCACTGCCATGTTTCAGCTTTGTCTGAATTCTACACTTTTCAAATGATTGGCTAGGAATTATATATTTTTGAGACAGTTTGCTTCAAAGTATGGTTTCCAAACAAAATGAAAATTTTTCTCGGCATAAGGCAACATGACGTTTTTTAGCATTTCTTTGTACATGAGATAATCGATTGTCCCTTGAATTCTATGCAACGGACCCACGCCACAACATGAAAAACTGCCCCAAACAACCCCCTCGCCACCACTATGTTTTACAGTCTTTAGAGTGAATCGAGGGCTTAAATCTTGGTTTTGGGGACGAACAAATCGATCCAAAGTAATTAAACTTAGGCTTGTTAGTTCAAACCACATTTTCTCGAAAACGTAAATCCTTGTGTACGAACTGTTTTGCAAACTTCAAACGATTGACGAGATTGTGTTTTGAGACAAAAGGTTTTTTTTGGGAAACTCTTTCAAACAACTTATTTTCACGTAAGCAACGTTTGACAGAGCTGACAGACAGATTGACTTGTAGAGTTTTGAGTGATTTAATCTTTAATTTATGCTGCGCAAACAAAAGGATTTAGCTTAGCGATACGGAGAATGGCTTGGTCTTCTCTAATTGTAGTTTTTCGTTCGCGAAACTTGCGTTTACTTGTCCTCAAAAGACATCTATTCCATTTTTACCTTGTCCCATTGATGAAAGAATATGATTTAAATGAATTGCAAGTTTTTCCTTAACATTTTAAGTATAATGATTTTTTTTTTATATAATATAAGAACTTTATTTTTTTTTATAAGAAAAAGTAAATGTGTGCTATTTAAAAAGACCTCAAAAATATAAACACAACTGCGAAAATGCTCAAAACAAACAATTTTAATAGTTATAAATGTCTAATGAGTATAAAGATTAGATAAAAATTTGCCTTCTTTTGAGAAACAAAAAATTTAATAGAAATCTTTTCATTTTAAATATCCTAGGCTGAACACTTCAAAGATAAAATTGAAAAAGAAAGGTATCAGAAAAGAAGTAGAAAAAGATGCCAATACAAATAAAGATCCACCAAGCTTAGAACCTTTGGAAAATTAGTTTTTTACCTTACGTTTAGTTTTAGTGGGCTAACGAAAAAAAGATAAGAGATATTAATTTCCATCTCAGTAGTAGCATACTCAGTTTTTTTTCAAAGTTTTCTGAATAAATATTTCTTAAGAATTATTTTCTATTTAAATATTATCGAAGTTTGTCAAGACAAAAAAAATGTTCTTTTATTAAAGTCTAATGGTTTGTCTGAAATTCAGCTCCAGTAACAAAGTCTCAAAGTCACTGAATATTTTTTATAGATCAGCTTCGATAACAAATTTGACTTTTTCAAATGTTGCTTACGAAGAAGAAAAAAAGGAAAAACTTACAAAACAAGAAGAATTTTTAAAAACTCAAATTTGAAATAAATATATTTTTGATTATATATATATACAATATCAATTAAAAAAATTTATAGTCTATTTCTTAACATAAGCAAGTACACCTATTTAGGCGACTGCTTACATAAACATATATACAAACGTATTTGCGCCTATGGTTACACATATATACAGACGTCTTGATTATTAGCTCTTTAATTTTTACAAACTTTAAAAAGTTAAATTGCTAAAATTATTTGTAGACATTATTAGAGTCTATTAATCAAGAAGAAAGAAATCAATAATTTATATGGTATAAATGTTTTAAATTATATTAGCAAACCGTTCTAAGTTCGGTATTTCCAAGGTGTGTCTGACCACTGTATATGTTCTCAGTTAATAAACTTTGTGAGTGTAATGGTTGATACCCTAAATGTTGAATTGATTCATTCATAATAGAGCTTTCTTTTTTTAACTTTTTATTCTTTCCGGTTGACTTTCGATTTCTTGTTTGAATGCCATCTTTTTTCATAGTGAGTGGTCGGTTAACCTGAATTTAATTTTATTATTAAATTAATGTTGATAGCTTAAATTTATGTTGATAAAGTTTATGTTGATAGCTAGTCTAAAAAACCTCGTTTTTTAGATAAAATCAAAATTTTTAGAAATCAAATAATTCATAATACTTAATAAAAAGTTTTAATATGATTTACTAATCATGAAGTAACTAAAGCAATTGAAAAACATTAAAACAAATATTTTATTGAAATTGAAATAGTTTACTTTATGTAACTTGTAATATAATCCACATGCGTTACATACTGGTTCACCACTTCCATTCCTTCTCCATAAAGTTGTTTGTGATGTTTTGCAATTTGAACAGACAATACCAGTACGACGAGCTTGTGACTAAAAAAACATTTTATAAATAAATTGTTTTTTAATATATTATTATTAGTCTAACTTTTTAACTTTAATAGTTATTAATAATTTTTTTTTTATCAAAAATTGAATAAATCTAAGTCATTAGACTTTTTCAAATGTTTCTCCCTTCCCCAAATGTTTCTATGCAAAAATAAAAAACAACAACAACAAAAAAATTACCAATCTCCTCTTTGGTTTAATTAATGGTCGATTAGCACCGTTCATTTTATGGTAAAGTCCACACGCATTGCAAAGATAGTGTCCTCTAGTATCACGACGCCACAAAGGTGTTGATGTAGCACCACAATTCATGCATTCTCTTCCTTCAACTGAAAGTATTAAACATGCAGAATAAAAGTACAGCGGAAATCCTTAATTTAAATATTCATATTCTGGGTGAGTAAATGAGGTAAATTAATGTAGTACCCCTATAATCCGATATGTTGCAATTGAAGTAAAACAATATACAATAACAATAAGTGATGCTATTGTAATTGTATATCGTTTTTCGTATTAGATTTTGTAATTACAATATTAATATATGTTAAAAGCAAATAAAACTTAATTTAATATGAAATTCAAGATAAAATTTGCTTATTATATTATTCCATTATAATACAATAATTATTGTGATATTTGAAAAACGTATAATAACAAAATAAAGAATAAAACTTATCTTTTCAATAACAACATTTATTGTTACAATTACAACAATTGTTGTTATTGTAGTTCCTTTTTTAACAAACTAACAAGAGAAATTTTAGTAACAGTATAACAATAGTTACAAATAAAACTTCCTGTTGATATCCAAATTTTATAATATTTTACAAAATACATTAGTTCATTGGAAGATATTTTCTTTTTTTTGTCTAACAAAATTAGGCTCGAAAAACAATCAAATATATTTAAGACATGATGAAGAATAGTTTTGTACTTTAAAAATTTCTCATTTAAGTGACTTCTGTTTAAATAATTTATCTTACAAAACTCATAATTTTTTCTTTAGAATTTTTAAATTCCGGCTTTGTAACTTAAATTTAATAAAAATTGAATCTCAATTAGTTTTTGCTGAATAATTGTTAAACGTTTATAAAAACAAGTTTGTAAAATTTTGTTAAATAAAAAATAAAAAGTTTTTTTAACTTCATTTTTTTTAATCACTTTTTCCAGCAGATTAACTGAAGATAGAAACTGTTTAAAACAAATTAAAAACAACATCTTTTTTTTTATTTGACTTTTTTTTTCTAACTCTGGAAAACAATCCAAAAAAGAGCTCTAAAAAATCTTTTGAGAGTTAAAATATATTTTGATGAAAGTTGAAATCTATTTGATCATCATTTGATGAAAGCTGAAAATTTATAAATCATGATTCTTTTAAAAGTAAAATTTTTACTTTTAAAATTTATTTTAAATATAAACTTAAAAATTTTAAAAAGATATTGTGTATTGTCCTAACCTATATATGCTGTGAAGTGAATTGGAATTCTTTCAGAAACGTATAACTTGCAATTGCAATAAAATACTCAATTTTATTTTAAACAAACAATACCTAAATGTTTTTTTTCTAAAATATAGGGTCACGTTAAAAAATACTCGCGTTGCTATTCTAGCTGGTCAGTAGATATAAAAGGAATTCTAAGAACTTTTAAGCTAATATATAAATTCTAAAAGTTTTGATAAAAACTTTATACGCTGATGAAATATTACAAAAATGGTATTAATTCATATCTGTTACATACACAACTGACTGAGGAAACTTTCAACTTAATTACACTATCAAATTTTATCTTTACCCCATGTGAATACAATGTATCTCTGTGAAAACAGTATTATGAGAACCATGTTATGAAAACCATGTTATGAAAACCATGTTATGAAAACCATGTTATGAAAACCATGTTATGAAAACCATGTTATGAAAACCATATTATGAAAACCATGTTATGAAAACCATGTTATGAAAACCATGTTATGAAAACCATGTTATGAAAACCATATTATGAAAACCATGTTATGAAAACCATGTTATGAAAACCATGTTATGAAAACCATGTTATGAAAACCATGTTATGAAAACCATGTTAGTAAAATTGTTCAATTTACTGATAAAAATCTGAAGAACTTTCTTGAAAAAAGTTAACAAGCATGGCTGTAATAATGGTGCATGGCTGTAATAATGGTGCATGGCTGTAATAATGGTGCATGGCTGTAATAATGGTGATCCAACTGCAAAGGTTTTAAGATCTTTCGACTAAATGATCATCATTCTTCAATTTTCTATTAAAACTCCAAGGAGGCTTAATGTAGATTTTTTTTTAATAGTTTGCAGATAGGAGTTACTCTGCATAAAATTAAAAGATACGAATATGTGAGTACCAACATTATCAGAAAGTTATAATTAGATTTGGTTTAATTACTAAATGCTGTTAGGATAAAACTTGATATACTTTAGAAAAAGAAAATTAGTTTGTGGCCATATTTCACTTGAAACTTAGTTTAGGCTTGTGGAGCATTTTCGTAAAGCATGTTTGTTGATGCTTTACTTGAAACTATATGTATTATCAAAGAAGGTTTTACTTGGATAGAAGTTTCAAATAATCAGCTTCTATTTCAAGGTGTAATAAGTTTTACTTGGTGTTAGATTGGTAAAACATCTAATGCAGCGTACAAAAATCTAAACAAGACAGAATAGTATTGCTGCATCTAAAAAAGCATTGTGCTAAAAAATTAAAAGCCGTATTTTTTTTTATTAAGTTCAAAACTGTGTAAAGATTTTCAAGCATGTATGTATATTATATCTTTTGTTGTGACATTTTAGTATTTAAAATATTATATGTGGCATTTAACTGTTTTTATCAACTGCAACCGTTTAATCAACCGCATGACTAACATGTTGTTGTTTTTTTAATTGTATTAAGTTTTTGTTGTTCTGTTATTCTCTTTTTATTAACCACAACTGCAACCGTTTTTATTAAGAGCAACCGTTAATCAACTGCAACCGTTTTATCAGTCGCAACCGTTTATCATCAATAATTACCGTTAGTTTTTTTGTAAGTAAAATATTTGAAACTATATTACAATAGTTTTTCAACTATATTACAATTTGTAAGTAAAATATTGGAAACTATGTTCAATAGTTTGTACAACTATATTACAATAGTTTGTCAGTGTACATTTTTTCTTATTGTTTATATGTGTTTAGTGATAATAAAAAATGTACTTAATAAAGCAAATTATTTAGTGGATAAAAATAAAATAACATTACTTACTGTGATCATGTTTTGTCAGTTTTGTTTTTGCTAATTTTAAAATTATAAAATTTTTTCTAATTTTATATGCAAGAAATAATTTTACTTTTTAAAATGCAAGTGCGTTGTTGGTGACTTTTATAGTGGTATATCCTATACGCAGAGCCGTGGGGGAAGGGAGAGAGGTAGATTTTTTGAAAATCTTGGTTTAACCACTTTGAGAATAAAGTTAAAAGTCTTACATGGACAAACCGGTAATGATCGAAGAATAAAATGTCAATATTACCATTATATTTCCCCAATTACTATTTCAAACTCTGGAAAGTTTTATCAAAAATGGAAGTATAAAATTAACCATGAGAGCCACCGTTAAAACTGTTTAGAAATTTTCAAAACTAAACGTCAGTAATAATTCAATTGAATAAAGAGTTTTAAACGAAATATTGTTTTTTCTTTTAACTTTTAATGAGTCTTTTTTTTTAACTGTAAAGTTTTTTTAAACTGTAAATTATTACATTATTTTCTCCTCTCCTAACATAGTAACATTTTTTATGCAAATAAATATTTCAGTCATACTTTAATTTGCATATTTTTTTCATCTAACCAGTTTTGGTGTTGGGTTTTTTTTTATGTCTCTCTTAATAAAAAAAGTATCTTGTATCTATATGGTATGGTAAAAGGATATATCATGGATATACCTATCTCAATAAAAAAAACTCTCAAAACGAAGGTTAGAAAGTTTTTTTTTTTAACAAAAAAAAAAAAAATACTATTCTCTTAAAATGACGTTTTTCTCGTAAAAATGATTTTATCAAATAGTTATTTTTTCTAAAACGTTTGTCTTTCTCTTTAAGTGATTAAAGCTTCAAGAGTATTGGAAGTTTTGTAATATTTTTGTTTATATATTTATTTACAAAAATATTGTAAAAGTACACGTTTATATTTTAAATGGAAAAGTTTTAATTCTTATGTAACTATTATCGCATTGAAATATCCGGTAGAAAAATAACATAAATTTATATAATAGTATAATTGTTAGAGATATCATTTTTATAATACTTTAACTATATTTTGGCTCCAACTTAAAAAATATCTTTTAAAAGAATGCATGGATATATTGGCTCTTTAAAAAATCTTTTGTTTTACTGATCTCTCCAATTTCCAGTAATACAGTTGACTTATAACTCAAACATTTGAAAAACCACACAGTTTTTCATTCGTTACTAATTTTTTAAAATGTAAAAATGCTTCTTGAAAAAAATGTAAAAAAGTTTCTTAAAAGCTGCAAGTAAACAAACATGATAAAATGTTCTTCTGTTTTTTATAGACAATCTATTGATGCAAAAAAAAAAAAAAAAAAAAAAAAAAAAAAGTTTTGTATGCTATAAAAAAGTTATTGGAACAAAAACTCCAGATCCCAGAATTTTAGAATTAAGAAATTGTTTACCAATTTTCACAGACACAAAAAACTGTTTCTATTAAGTGTTTCTAATTTAAAATGCAGTCAATTAGCGTGACTCGTATAAAGTTATGATATATAGTGTGACTCGTATAGCGTGACTCGAATAATGTAATGATTATACAAGTTGAAGAAAGTAGTCCAGAGCTATTTATTTTATCTTTCAGAACTATCTATTTTAGCTATCTCTCAAAACTATCTATTTTACTATCTAAAGAACTATTTATTATCTATTATCTTTATTTTATATTATCTTGTAAAGTCATCTATTTCAAATGTATTTTTGAAAATTTCAGTGGGAATTTCATTTCTAGCCGATGTAATGCCAAAGTTATCTTTGGCAGCAAAACTGACGGTCAACCTTTAAGATTTGAATCTTAAATATTTTGGTAATAATTTAAAAAAAAAAAAGTTATTTATATACAACTTTAAAACGTTATATTGATGATCATAAGTTTTTATTGATGACAGGTAAGATGTTTTCCTGTTAATATTTGTACTTAATTCATATGTCTAAAAGCTGCTACACTTATACGCATGTAACTTATACGTGACTTTAGCTGCAACAACAACAACAACAACAACAACAACAACAACAACAACAACAACAACAACAACAACAACAACAACAACAACAACAACAACAACAACAACAACAACAACAACAACAACAACATCAACAACAACAACAACAACAACAACAACAACAATATGTATATATATATATAAAATGTTTTAGCAAACTTACAATCTCCGGAGTTAGATCGGCTTCCTGTTCTGCATCTTGGAAATCCTGGTAACATATCAAATGACATTCCGTTGGATCCAAAATCAGGTTGTGATACATGAGAATATAGTTGAGGCGGATAGGGGGAATAGTTAGGCAAAGGCTGACCCAATTTTAATTTCATATCGTCAGAACTATAGTGTGAAGAAATTTCAAGATGTGGTGCTAAATGATCTTTGATATGTTCTTGTTTCATGATATTGTTATGCGGATTTGAAAACTGTGGAAGTGTGGAGCTATAAGTTGATCCTGGTCCTATAGTGTTCATGTGTTGCCATATAGAAGGAGATGGATTTCCATAAGTGTTAGTGGTTTGAAATAAATGCGAGCTTCTACTGTTTGTGCATGCGTTTGGTATATAGAGTCGCGAAGATACATTAGGATTTGCTTCTGAGTTGTTTAACGGAGAATGAGGTAAAGGCGAAGGAGGATGACAAAGTGAATGATAGGAAACATGACCAGAAAAGTTTCTTCCTACGTCGTTATGAGGCCCACTGTGGTAATAACTTTCATTACCATCATTATTATAACTGGGTGAAAGTTCGTTGGGTAGGACAGATGTTTGACTTTCCGGGTACATATACATTGCTGGATGAAACCACCTCGTATGCTCTCCGCTGTGCATTTCCATTGTTTTCATCGGTGCGAATCAAACTAAAGTTAAGAAGATACAATAGATTACCTTGATATTCTTTGTTAATATCACAAAATATAAATCTTAAACATCATTACTGAATGTTTAAAAATTTGTTTCCTGAAGCATCCGAAAAGTAATTTATTATTTGTTATTATCTTGACGACTGTTTTTACAAAATGTATTAAATGTAATTGATAAATAACACTTATTTGCACATCAATCAAAATTTAATTATAATCACTAAGCTTTGTGGTTGCTTTTTCATAATTTAAGTCAATATCTTAGTCTTTAATAAACGATCCTACTAGAATAAATCTTAATTTATGTTTTGCTGCAACCCTTTTGTTTTACTAAGTCGTTTTTACATAAATTATGTTGAATGTTAGTTAATTGAAATTTTGGCGCCTCATTTTTAAGCGACTAGACTAATATAAAATTTTGTTTCTTGTAATTCTGAAACCTAAACAAGTCAATGAGGAATATGTAAAATTAGGCATGGTTACAAATAAAATAAAAATGGAAAATAACGATATCTTCAGTTTTGAATAATTTTGTGTTTTGGTAAGTAAAATGTGACGTCACAAACATGTTGCTAATTCTGAAAATCAAAAACTATTTTTTGAAAATCTGAAAATCAAAAACTATTGTACTTATGAAATAAATTACTTTTGTTGTACTTTCAATTTTTCTATATTTAATGTCTGAAAACATTATTGAATGGGCATTTCAAGGTACTTTATTACTTCCACATCATTTATATCAACTTAAACAAAGTTAGATGCAAAAGTCGATTACACTATGTTTAATACCAATGACGAAAACATCAGTTATACGTGTTGTATACAAATCAAAAAAAAAAAAAAAATCTTTTTAGTTTTTTAATAAAAAATAAAAATACCAATAATAATAATAACAAAAATTTGATTCAGATGGTCATATTATAGAAATAGTTTACCAGTTAGATGACCGATATTTTAAAATTAGGGTGTTTTAACGGTTTGTGACGTATTTTGTTTTCTATTAATCAGCTAAACACACTCAAAATGTTCAATATAACTTGTAAATAAGAAAAAAGAATAAAAAAAATTGGAAAAAAAAATAAATATTTTTTTTAGTAATCAGAAATGTATGTTTCGTGATGAAGTTAAACTAAGAAACAAGTGTTTTTAAACTATTATTATATATTAAAGAAATAATCCCATCAGAATTTGTAGTCCGGATAACAATTATTAAATATAAGTGGAGGTAGTGCTAGTATTAATTTAATAAGAGAGGTAATGTCAACTTTTAATTAACTAACAATAAACTGCGCAACACTTTTAATTAGCGTGATTGACATTGTCTCGTTCTTTTTATCTCTCTTATAAGCTGATTATGATTTATATATTGAAATTGATAGTCAAGGTTCAGGTGCATTTTTAATATTAGTTCTATCATAAAGATTACTGAGATGTTTATTCTAAAGTGATTGATTTATATATAGACATATTTCATATATTTTCGTTTAAAAAACGGATCGAAATAATTATTAGTTTTGTTAATCTTTATTACGATATAAAAATTATAAAAATGCTATTGTAAAAAAGTTTTTAATTAGTATGGAATTTGGTATTTTTATAGTAAAAAGGATTGCATGTGCTATTTGTCAACGTTAATTCATTCAGACCTTCACCAAAGATTAATAACATAATATTATAGCTAATTACAATTCTTTCAAAACTTATTATATAGAAGGAAATGTTCAACAAGAAATCACATTACCACCCGAGCATAACTTTTTTTATGTTGTTTATTCATTTATCTTGAGTCAAAAGAGGAATGCTTTCTATTGGTTAGCTCAAATTTGTTTTGAAAGTTAAAAAATAAAATCTTAAACTTGTGTTTACCAAAAAATGGAAATAAGCGTTATTTGAATACAGAGATGTATAGTCATGGTGTTGTTATGGAGGCTTTCTAAACCGTCTTTTATAATATTTTATAGAATTATAAGAGAAGTTACGAGTTTTTCCAATATCGATCTAATCTTTGAATTACAAAGCCCATTTAACCATAAAAAAATGCTATATTTAAAAAAGAAAATTCTTGAGGTTAACCGGGGCTCAATTCACAGTAAAACTAGTTAATAAGTTTTTCCGTTAAAGTAATCGTGTTTTAATACTAATGTTTAGCCGCTGGTTGTCTCATTCTTCTAAAGCAGTTGTATTTTAAATATAAAAATAGTACTTATAGAAAACCACCGGTCCTCTGATTCTTTTGAAGCAGTTTAATAGTGTTTAGCCACCTGACTTCTCATTCCTTTAAACTTTTAAAAAGATATATAAAAATAAGATTTAACAGTTTCACTAAAAAAAAACTTTTTTCAGGTGAGCCTATTTTTTTTTCAGGTCAACCTTTGTTTTTATAAAGCTGTTTTTGCATCGATAATACGCAAATAAAAAATAATATAGTTTATATGGGCATCAGCACATTTCATTTAAAAAAACAAAGTTGGATAAACATAAATAAAGTAGCGAAGGAATTTAGTAAAAATAAAGATTTTTTTTAATTTAATATTCCGAAAGAGATTCTTTTTTAGCACTTTCAAGAGGATTTTTTGTACATAGACGCATAAAGAATGAATAAAATTAAAAAAAAAAAAACTTTTCGAACTTTTCAATTATTATAACATTTATCGTTAAAACCGAATAAATAAATTGTCTTTTAAATATAATAACTTTTTTTAAATAAAATTTCTGTTTGATTTGGATGGATTTAAGTGGTAACAAACCATTAGCATCTAAAATGCAAAATACTTTATTTTGTATACATTTGAAAAACATGTTTTAGATTTAAAATTTTTTTATGTTTATAACATTAAAAACCCTTAAAAAAATACCTGTAAGTTCGATTTGCAAATGAAGGCCCTATTATTGCAAAAAGTTCTTAGCAGAGCAAAGAAAACTAATTTTTATATATCTATATGTTTTTATATATATGTATATATATATATATATATATATATATATATATATATATATATATATATATATATATATATATATATATATATATAAATATATATATATATATATATAAATATATATATATAAATATATATATATATATATATATATATATATATATATATATATATATATATATACATATATATATATATACTATATATATATATATATATATATATATATATATATATATATATATATATATATATATATATATATATATATATATATATATATATATATAAATATATATATATATATATATATATATATAAATATATATATATATATATATATAAATATATATATATAAATATATATTTATATATATATATATATATATATATATATAAATATATATACATATATATATATATATATATATATATATATATATATATATATATATAAATATATATATATATATATATATATATATATATATATATATATATATATATATATATATATATATATATATATATATATATATATATATATATATATATATATATATATATATATATAGCGGGGCAACATGGCGAACGTTTTGATAGCCCTGAGTTATTGCAAAACTATCAGTCGTGAAGCAATAATACTTCCTCAGTATGTTTATGTTATTAAAATGACTCATTGCCTGGATGAATTTTCAGATTGCAAATAAATATTCAGAGAAAAAGTTCTCAAATTTGTCATCTGGTCACGTGACCGGGGCAAGATGACTTATTATGCAATTTTTGCCTCCAATTTTATAAAATTTAAAAAACTACTAATAACTCTAACTAAAGTAATACAAAATAAACACAAGTCGCAAAAAACTACTTCAAAAGAAGTTAAACTTGAAGGATACCATCCATTATGAGAAAACTGAGGAATTTTTTTTTAAGCGCAAAAAGTAAACTTACGCGTTTAAAATTGCGTTAATAGTATTTAAAAAAACCAAATTAGTGTTTTAAAATACAAGATGCAAATACAGTTTCGTTTTTACTCAACTTTAAGATTTTTTGTTGAGTTGTTATATGAAAACCCATCTTGCCCCATTCGCCATGTTGCTCCGCTTTACCCTACCATCTTAACAAACAACACATTTTAAACAAAAAAAATAAAATAATTAAAATATTTTAATTAATTTATAAAGACATTGCACTATGACGTTAATGAAAGTAATTTTAATTAAAATCAGCTATATATCATTTTATTTCAATCAAGGCAACCTGTTTGAACATGTATTTTAAGTTAAAACATACTAACACCCTAATTAAAATAAACTAGTTCGATTGTTAAAACAGATATATATTGAAAGGTTTATGTTAAAAACTCAGACAATTAAAAAAATTATCGAAAATAATTACGATAAAAAGAAAACTTGAGAATAAAATTTATACTTTAAGTAGAAAACAATAATTTATATATTGTGTATAAGAAAAACTTTACTTTAAAACACTTTGAGCTTTTAACTGTTCCAAAATAGTAGAGACAACATTATAAACATGACTGAATAAAGAAACCAAAACTTATAGCAACAGGAATGTCTCTCAAGAACACGGACGAGAAAAATAGACAGGATTGAGGTAGGGTAAGGTAATCTTAGGATCTGCAATCAAAAACTTAATATTTGAGAGTTTTATTTTGAATACTTATTTGTTTACAACTTTGTACTGGCAACTTAATGTTCTATTTTCATGACAATACCATTGTGCTAGAGATGAGTTTTAATCAAAAGACGAGGTCAAAGCGAAGGGTTTTCTAATAAAAATAATATTAAAAAAATATTAAGAAAAAAACAGTCGAGTTGAAGTTTTTAAATTTCAAGGAAAACAAAACTCTTTATCTTTAATTGTTGCTAAGAAATGTAAAAAACTTAATTTTTTTTTAAGAAATCGGCAGTTAATGCAATAAAATCACAGGAAAGCAATGCCGTAATTTTTTTTTTTTTACAAAAGTTTTTTAAAATGCGGCTTTTCTCACACGATAACTTTCAAAATTGAATTAAAGTTGAAAACTTCGCAACGAAATATAAAAAGAAAAAAATGTAAGAAGAAAACGAAACCTTTTGCTCTCTATCTTCAGTTGTCGATAACGTTTTATTTGTGTTATCTTCTTGTTGTTATCGTTTAGTGCTTTATGTTTAGGGTCAAACATTTTCCGAAACGTTCTTACAAAAAATTTTGGTCGGATTTACACCATCTGGTTCGCACCATATGAGATAGGCTTGTCATTTTATAAATCAAAGATTAAAAATGAGATAAAGAAATGATGGCGTTCTATTTATGATGGTACATTAATAAAGAAAATATTCTTAGAATTTGTAACCAAGTTTTATTATGGTTTAAAAAACAACAAATAACTTTTTTTAATAAAGAGTTTTTAGGTATAATTTACAAAATCTCTCGCGTCTTCATAATTTGATGAAGGCTTTTGCGGTGTAGCTTTGGATTTTATTCTATTAATTTGGAGCAAACGTTCCAGCCAATTAGACGCAAACGCATTAGTCGTCGTTTTTTCGCTCAACTCTGTTACAATAGCCATCTAAAACCAAACGTGATATAAATAGATCAACGTAAAACTATTTTAGTTAAATATACAAAAAAATTAATTTGTCTAATAAGTTTATTTATATAAAGCCTCCTCATCTTAAGAGAGCTACCTCCCATCCTGTAGCAGCTTCCTCCCATTTTATAAAATCATTTAACTGCACTGAAAATACAGTTAAATCTACTTGATTTTATGAGATAAAAATATCTTTATTTATATCAATAAAGTTTTATAAATTTTTTCCTATTAAAGAAATTAATTCGTTTATTTTAAAATTTTTTTGAAAAATCCTTCTGACTAAAAAATCGAGTTTAAAGGTAAATTATCAGTTATTTTGTTTTAAAAAACGTCACATTCTATGAATAAGTATTCACATTCTTTACTTATTTTTACTATTAACTTTTCAGCTTTATTTATGCCCATCTGGTCCATCTGGTGATTTTTTAAAAAATATATGTACAAAAAAAAAAAACAAAAAAAAAAAACATGTAATAACAAATATGTAATGGTGTGTTTATGCATATATATATATATATATATATATATATATATATATATATATATATATATATATATATATATATATATATATATATATATATGCATAAACACACCATTACACACACACACACATACTATTACATAATAGCAAATATGTAATAGTATGTGTGTGTGTGTGTGTGTGTGTGTGCGTGTGTGTGTGTGTGTGTATAGAAAAATGTGGCAAGGTGGCTTTTTTTTTATAACAATTCAACAAATTAAAAAATAGAATTAAAGGCAACTGTATATTTTAAAATTTTTTTCAAGTATTCATTTTTTAAAATATTGTTAACGTACGCATAAGTTTATTTTACGCACAAAAAATATATATATTTTACAGTTGACGCTATTGGGTGGTACTCTACGGGTGGAACTTTTTTAGTGATGGTTTTTTGCGAAGCGTGTTTATTTGCGATACTTTCGGTAAGAAAACGTTAAAAAAAAATGAAAATGAGATGCAAATAAGAAAAAAAAAAAAAAAAAAAAAAAGCCTCTTTATAAAACAAGAATAAAGAATGGTTTATTATATAATAAAATAGAATTAAACGTTATCATTTTAGTTAGAGAGAGCAGAGGGGGTGGGGTAGGGTGGAGTTGGTGACACAGTTTTAAAGGCTGGATACCAAATTTAAAATATTCAATAATTTCATTTTATTTTATTAAGCCAAAATAAGATATAATATTATCAAGTTTTTAAAACTTATAATGCAACGAGCTCAATTAGCATAAAAATTATAATAAACTTTTTATTGCAAACTTGTTTTGAACAAAAAGATAAATTGTGTTCAAAAAAAAAATAAATAAATAAAGAAACAACTGCTATTCAAGGATGAACGATCAGAATATCTATCTGCCTTTTAAATGCATAACTTGGTGCCTCAATCCATTTAGTAATTTAGACGACGAAACACTGCAAAGTCATCATTCCTCCTAACTATGGTTTGGCCGCATACGTGACTGTTGTTTAGTGTCACTTGTGAACATTTCTCAAAGCGATTTGTAATCTTGTTATAGCAAAGAATTCTCAGAACACTTTGGAAAAGTGTCGCGATTTATTGTTAGTTTTTTTAAACCACAATTTGTTACTTTTTTAAAATCACTTTCAAATAATTTTATTTCTTACAATAGACCGGATGAATAAAAAAAAGCAACTGCTTTTACTCAGTAATTAGTCAGCTTTACGTGAATAAAAATTTTAGGAATTTTCCTTAAATTTTTATTCACGTAAAGCTGAACAATTACTGAGTAAACTGTTTAACTTAACGAGAATAAAATTTTTTGCGTAACTACTGAAGTTTTTATTCACGTAAAATTGACCAATTACTGAGTAAAAGCAATTTGTTTTTTTATTCACCCTGCCTTATATTCTTTTGTACTTTGTGAAGAACGTCTGTCTGACTGGTTTGTGGTTATTTGGATAAGTTGACTAATTCAAATAACCACAAACCACTTATTGAATAATAGTTGTCAATCTAGACAACTATTATTCAATAAGTGATCCAATTATTTTTAAATTAAAATTGGGAATAATTAAATTTTAATGAGAAAAAATATTAAAGTATTCTATTTCTGATTAAGTGAATTTTTACTTTAATTAATTGATAAAAATAATTAATATGGTATAAATTTACCTTGTTTAAAAATTAAAAAAAACAATAAAATAGTAAAATCACTGTCGTACTAATATGGACATATTAGCTCAAGCAGGGCTAGTATGTTTATCTTATACAGGCATTATAAAATTTAAAAAAAACTATATTTATATTTAAATCATGTAATTAACATTCATTCGTACTATACTCCTAAATGCTTTTTTAAATTAGTATATTATATTCTACAATGATCAACCAAAACTTATTTCAACTTGAGCTTAATATGACCTTAATCCGAAAACTTTAAAAAATCATATTCTTACGACATTCGATTGAACAACTCTATTAGTTATATTTAAGTCTCAGTTTTAATAAAAAATTATTGAATGATAAAGGTGTGAGGTCATTTGAACACATAGTAACAATTTTAATGTGATTGAGCAATAAGCGAAACGAGTAATTAGTCGTAGTTTATTACATATGAATTAATAAAATTCAGCTAGCTTAATGATATTTAAAAAAACTTTTTCAGATACCAATCAATACTATCAAGCCCAATCGAGCACAATAATTATATTACACTTTTTTGAATTCTCGATATCACGTTTCACTTGATAGGTCTCGATTTAACGTTGTGAAGTACTCTGCCTAAGTCTTATAAATAAGGCCTTTTTATCGCCCTTAAATTTTTTAATAATATGCTTTCTTATAAAATAAAATAAAAACGTATCATAACACATGTCTTCCCTGTACGCATAAATTATTCAAGATAAAAAATAAAAAGTTTTTGGATTAGTTCTATGGAAAATCAAAAAAGATTTTTAACTTTCTTTAGTTCGTCATTATATAAATAATATAGATTAGCATGGATATCTATAAAATTATTTCTTTTTATTTGATTCAAGTTTCACTCAGATAAGTATCATTCAAGTTATTAACAGATCTAAATGTTACGGTAAAAGGTCGATCCTGATATCAGGGATAGATCTTTCAACTGTCCCTGATATTAGAATCGCCCTTTTGAAAATATTTTACTAATATTTTTAAAGACATATCTGAAGTAAACTAACATTGAAACAATTGCTTTATTATGTTGAAATAAACTTTCATTATAACTGTTTTCAATAAATCTCGGTTATTATCATTTATTAAATGGATATCAATTGTCACACATTTTAATAAGAACATTTTTTAAACTTTTTTTAAATACATTTTTTAAACTTTTTTTTTAATACAACATTTTTTAAACTTTTTTTTAATAACTTTTTAACGATATAAATTTATTCCATTAAAATCAATTGTTACACATTTGAATACGACATTTTAAAAACTTTTTTAAAATATATAAACGAAAATAATTTTTCGAATATTTTGTTTGTTTAGTACGAACTTTACTAAATAAATTTTCGAATACTTTTATGTTTGTTTTCTTTTTTTTAAGGTGAAAATTAAAAAAAAAAAAAAATTTGAATGTTTAAATTTTATAAAATTTTTACACCTTATTATAAGTTTCTAATTTAATTAGAAAATTTCTGACATAAATCCAATTTAGTTAAAAAGATATAAAGAAAAAATTAAAAGATTTAGCTTAAAGTGAACACGGAATACATAGGAAAATTTTTTTTTTTTTAAACAAATACAACGAGTTTTACAGTTTGAAAATCAATATTATTCCGGTGGGAAATGGGTTGCAAATAGCTAGCTATAATCGTAACGATAAAGACAGCGATGTGGCCACGAGGATCGCTAGCTTTTTAAAGTTAGCGAAAAGCTATCGATATTTGTAAAAATAAAGACAACGATTTGGCTACGAGGACAGCTAGCTTAATAAGCTAAAAACCCACTGGCTGTAGCTTAAGTCATATCGTAATAAATCGCTATCTAAAATATTTAGATATGTAGCTACCAACCGGCATAAGATATGTAGCTAGCGACACATTGCTATTATAATAAATATCGCTTATTTAAAGTTCAATTATTCTAATAATCATAATAGACTCAGCGCTAAGAATCGAATTTTTAAAGACGTTAAAGACATTAGGAAAAAATAAAATAAGAAAAAAAAAATTGCTATAAAGCTAGCTAGTCGCTTGCTCATTTCCCACCGGGATGTTATGTAACAGAGATATGTCCATTTAACTAAATGTTTTTTTATTTTTAATGTTTAAAAAAATATATTTGATGGGAAAAGGGGGAGGGTGCTGATTTTGTAATAAATGATGGTCAGTCAAAAAGGAAAAAACTTCATAAAACTTTATCCCAAAAAGAGAACTTCATAACAAGAAAAAGCAAACTTCATTTTGAAAGTGATGGAATGACAATCAAATAATAATGACAATGATACATTAGAATCACAACATTTTAATGAATTTCTTGTAATTCTATTCAAAGATATCGTAAAAAAGTAATTTCAGACTTGAACAACTAAGGAAACGTTGAGTCTCAGTAAAAAATTAACATTTGTGTTAAATTTTTTGCATTTATTTTTTCGTTTCACTGATTTTACTTTAATTTTTTACTCTTATAAGAATTAAGTAGTTAAGTTCAAGTAATTTGTACTTTTTTAACTTTAAAATTAATAATAACTTTATTGGTTTTGATTATAGACATTGCTTTAATGAAAAAAAATACAAAAAACAATTCTTATACATTGTATAAATTTATAGTCGGATCAAATATACATGCTCAGGGATGTATATAGTTATAAAAACCAAAAACACTCAACTGAGATTAAGGGAGCATACTGGTATGCACACTTGATCTCAATTGAGTGTTTTTGATTTTTATAATTTAAAATATAAGATATTCTAGTAAAGAAAATTATTATCAAATTAAAGTATAAAGTTTGCTATCATGTAATTA